AGTAATGGCAGACATAAAACAGAGTGTTTGTATTTTTCCAACAACTTATATATAATTTCTGTAAAATAAACTTCATTAATGTGGAAGTCCTTTCGGCTTGAAAAAAAAGCTACTGGAAATCTTCCAGACACTTATTTAAATGCACATTTTCTCCACATTGCATCGGCGTAGAAGCTTAGACTGATTTGAGAAAATTTTACCACATTCAAAACAGTTCACTGATATATTTACTAATTATGTAAATAGGGAACTATTCAAAACAATTTTTATTTGACAATGCAAGCAAGGTACCCCTTAAAATTTTCATTTGAAGTTGAAGGTTCGAAATATTTCGAATGCAGTCGTTTCACACATGCGCAGTTGACGGATCGGGTCCCTGTAATTAATCGCTCCTGCTTATTGTTATACTCGGTTCGCTAATGCCAGTCCGAACTGTCTAGTGATTTTAGTAATTATGTTTTTACGAAGTTAGTTACTTTTTGACAGACTAGAAGTGGCTGGAAATTATTATACAACCAAGTACACGTGCTCATAGCGCATTTCATTGTTACAGTATTTCGTTGACCTCTTTTGCAAACTTATACTATGAATTAGAAACTTATAGCATGTATATAGAATGTAAGTTTCTATTATATATAAAAAATATGTATTATAAAAAAAGTTACAGTAATTTAGTTTATATCGTTAGGTTGCCCCAAATGTAGGCAACCAACTTAAACTTTTTGTTAGCATTTAGCTGGAGTTTCTTGAGAATATATTTAATATTTTCCAGTTAATTTATTATTATTTTTTAAAGTGATGATAATAATGCTGAATAAGCAATATTTCAAATGATATCTAATCACAGGACGTACTTAATATTGTGTTATAAAGTAGGTTAGATAAAAAATATCATAATATTCATATTATAATTCAAAAATATCATTCATCAAAAATATCCAATATCATCAAAAATATAATTAAAATAAATCATAATCTTCTATTATTCCTATTAGAAACTAGTTTTGGACGGCCCGGGATTTTACCTTTTTTATCTAACGTATTTTATTATGAGGATTTTACAATAACACAATATTAAGTACGTTTTGTGGTTAAATATCATTTGAAATATTGCTTATTCAGAATTATTATCATCACTTTTAAAAAATAATAAATTAACTGGAAAATAATAAACGTTTATTAAAAATATTCTCAAGAAACTCCAGCTAAATCCTAACAAAAAGTTTAAGTTGGTTGCCTAAATTTGGAGCAACTTAACAATATAAACTAAAATACTGTAACTCTTATCACAGCTTTTATTTAATTTTTGACGCCATGTCAAACTGAACTGGATGTTAACTAAAATGTTTTTGATATTAAGAACATATTTACTTACATAATTTTATAAATATGTTTTAATGATCCACCTACGCCGAATGGGCAAATAATTAAACAAAAATGATTGGTGTTTTGAATAAATCGTTGTGCAGTTTGATTATCTCGTAATTTAACAGCATCCTTACTTATCTAAAAATATTAACTTTTAAAGAACATTTATCATATTTATATTTATTCAAGAAAAACGTACCAACGCATTATCTGATAGAACAAATGGAAAACTTTGACTATCTGTAATAATAAAATTCAAAATAGAACTAACTAATTAACTAAATAGAACTAACAAAGAATTAAACAAAAATAATGGAACAATAAAAGTATATTAGCTAAAATAAACAACGCGAATAATACAAACATTTACTACAATATGTTCAATTGTAACAACTCAAATATTATATTTTAAATATACAGGGGAAATGTTATGGGTTTAGTATACACTTCCACTATTTGGAATAATTCTTCTTTTTTAAAAGGAAGAAGTCTGCAATAGTAGTATATTTGAGCTATTAATACTGAGAAGTAGGAATTTTTGTGTTGTAGGTTTCCGACAATGAATCTGTCAAAATATGCCCGAGCTAAGCGAATGGAGAATACGTACGTTTTTATGTTGTTAAAATAGTATATTTGACTCCAGCGATAATGGTTAATTAGGGCGATCCTCAAAACGCCAGCAGGATATAAGGATAATTCAAGAACCCTTTACTATCTTTAATGGGAATTAATTACAATTTTGGTTGAAAATACGTTTATTTTGACGCTTTAATTTTCACTTAGAAAATTGTAAATTTGTAACTTTGTAAATTTTGTAAATTTGAAAACGAATATATTCCGAACGAATAATGTTTTTTTTTATTTATTTACTTTATTTATTATGATTCAGCAAGAAAGTCAGAAATAAACAATCAGAATATCCACTCTGTTTGTCACGATTAGTACGCGCATCTCGTTAGAGCAGACGGAATCAGCAAAGTTTTAAACGAAACAGGAAATTAGTGTTGTTCAGCGAAATTTTATCTGGTGTGCATAGAAAAATTAACCCGGTTTAATTTATTTACGGCAACCATAGACATAATATGCACTATTTTATTCGTACTTTTACTTGAAGAATAGCTCTCAGATGCCACCTTTGAAGTTTTTCAGCACGCGAACGCCATATTTTAGACGGAAACAGACTCGAATTGAGAAATTTGTGTCAAGCCACGACAGAACTGTAATTTAATTTTTTAGGGATTAATAATTTAGTACATTTGAAATAATTTAATCTATTCTTCAACTAAAAGTACGAATAAAATAGTGCATATTATGTCTATAGTTGCCGTAAATAAATTAAACCGGGATAATTTGTCTATGCACATCAGATAAAAATATCACTGAACAGCACTGGTTCCGACTAAAACATGGTTCCGTCTGAGCGAACGAGATGCCCGTACCACAGAATAATAAACAATCAAAATGCCCACTCTCCATGGAAAATTCAGTACGAGCATCTCCTTCGCGCAGTGTTGTTTATGTGGTGATAGAAAAATTAACCCGGTTTAATTGACTTACGGCAATCATAGACATACTATACAATTATATTAACATTGTTAAATATAATAACATAAATATAATATAATTAAACATAAATATAAACAGTTACATAACCTCAGAAATCATATGTCTGTTATGTTTCCTTCTAAAACATGGCACGCGCGCTGAAAAACTTCAAAGGCGGCATCTGAGAGTGGACATTCTGAATGTTTATTATTCTGTGCCCGTACCTAACTCGATGACCCGTACTTATTTTTTAAGCAGAGTGGGCATTCTGATTGTTTATTATTCTGTGGTTCTGTCGTAGCTTGTCACAAATTTCTCCAAGTCAATGTTTCCGTTTAAAATATGGCTATCGCGTACTGACACACTTCAAAGGAGGCATCTGAGAGTGGGTAATCTGATGCTTATTTATTCTGTGGTTATACTGTTATTCATAAAAATATGGGCAGAAGTCACGGTTGCTAGACTTACTACTGTTGCCTCTTCCGCCTAACCAATGAACATTAAGCCGGATTGTACTCCTGTGACGTAATTTGAATCTTAACATTCAGCCCTGTGATTGGATGGATGTATCAAAACAAAAATGTTTTATAAATAAAGTAGGTTGATTTCATGTAATCAAATGAACTATTTTACAATAAAGCCAAGTTAAAGTTATTTATTTATGTTAATATACAAAAAAGTACTTACATATGTCAAAAAATAGTATAAAATAAAAATTAACATATTAAAAACATAAGGTATAATAATGCATATAAGGCAAATATGTTATATATACGTTAAGGCAAACATTACACAGAATATTATATTCTGGGTTCCCAGGTATACACAAAATAGGATTCATCATCATCAATACACAAGCCAGTTCGAAACATTAAAGTTAAAATTTAGGAATTCATTACTTGAAAACTGCTTCCCCTTAAACCAATGGACTCTTTGCTTCACCACAATACTCAAAGATATCATTAAGGTTAATTTCCATTATTAAATGATACAAATAACTCGTCTTAAACCAAACTAAACATGGAAAAGCAATGGTAAATATTCGAATGTTATGTTTGTTTTTGTTTATACCATTTATATCGGCCATGACACTGCAATCGACCTGCCCTCTACATTCAGTTTCAATCGCGGATAAATGGGTTTTGTATTCTTGTGTACTCCTGTGACGTAACTCAAGCATCCCCACCCTAGTCGGAAGAGGCAACCGTAGTAAGTCTACGAACCGTGGGCAGAAGTATAGAGTAAAGGCGTTAAAGTTCTTATGGAAATCCATTGTTGCCACATCCTCAAATACGAGGAGAGCCACCTGTCAATTACTGTCACTTTAGAGAAAGTGCCGATGAAGTTGGCATAAACGTCATGTCAAATTTGTGTTTGCGGTGTTGCCATGTCACAAATAAATCACGAAAGAGCATGCGATATAATATTAATTAATGTTACCAAACATTCTTTTTAAGTTTTTAAAAGAAGTTTAATTAATTTAAATTTAATTTATTATAATTTAAATTAACTTTGATTTTTTAAGCTTTTATTCAGATACTATTTCATCCCAAAATTATAAGAAAATATTCATAAAATTGAAATCAGCTAAACATCTGTTGCAATCTGGCAACTACCTTTGACAGTATTGCCAAGTTTATTTAGTAATCTACCAAAGGCCAATTATAATTTTTTTCTAAAAACTAACTGCAACTAATATCAAAAGAAACAAATATTCATTCGTTCATGTTTCATGTGAATTTAAAAATTTTTAAAATATACCCGATTTTATAAAATAATATAATAAAAATGAACTGTTTCAAAGCATATTTGAGGCATAAAACATATACATAATAACGACATGGCAATACCGCAAACACAAATTTGACATGACGTTTATTCCAAATTCATCGGCACTTTCTTTATACCAAAGAATATAGACGGTAGCGAAGAATATAATCGTCTATATTCTTTGTCTCTACTTTTTCCAAAATATGATATTATATTATTACATCGTATAAATTATTATCCAAAAATTGAGGTTCGAAAATACCTGTACACTTGAAAAAAATTGCCTAAAGGTTATGTCATTGACAGTACTGACAGATGCCATATTTGAAAAAGTAAAACTTCAAAACCATTTTCAACAAAAGGGAAGGAGATTCTTTTTATTAAACAGCAAATACTCAATTTAAATACTGCGTTTTCAATGTGCATAATGACATTGTGAATTGCTTTAAGAAGAAATAGGTCACGTAAAATAATCGATATTTTTTGTACTTATTCCTAAACCAAAACAATGGAAGCCCTTATTCCAGTTATTAACAAACTGCAAGATGTATTTAACACTGTTGGCTCAGACGCTATCCATTTACCTCAAATCATAGTTTTAGGATCACAGGTAAGATTAAAAATTTGCATATAATTTAATTATGACATAACCTAAATTGATTTTTTTAGAGTTCCGGAAAAAGTTCTGTTATTGAGAGTTTAGTAGGAAAGTCCTTTCTTCCCCGAGGTACTGGTATCGTTACCAGAAGACCTTTAGTGCTTCAGTTAGTATATTGTCCCAAAGAAGATAGAGAACATAGAAGTGCTATTGATGGTAAGTGTTTTTCTAATTTGGAATCTTTTTGGTGGAGTGTACATTAATTAGTTTGTTATAAAGGGTATGTTTATGTGAAGACATACTTTTGACTTCGTACTAAAAAGTTTATTAATGACAATATGGCTTATTTGAAGAGGCAAAGGTCTCTTTTTAATTGCATTCAACAAATATCTGGTTTTTGTGTACATATTAAGGTTTTTATAATTTAATATCATAATATAGACTATATAGAGTTCAAATAATCAAGGAATAGATAATAAATTTCAATTTATTTGCTCTAATTACAGAATAAGGTAAACATAGTTTATATTTTTCATATAGTCCTTACAGTAGAATAATTATCACTGTTCCTGAGTAATATGTACTTTTCAGTGAACATTGTAGTAGAGGGGTAATATAGTTAAGGTAGGTACTGTAGTACAAGTTAAAGCTAAGGAACTATCGTGGAAAAATAAAAAGGAATAGTTGGACGAAGTTAATGGGAAGCTCTTATGTAAGATGTTAGCTATCATTATCATTCTCGTTGCCTTTATCCCGATGCTAAGTTAGATTTACTACTTAATTACATTTCTCCATAAATTTTAGGTTTTAAATTTTATTATTTGTTGGTACCCAACTCATCCATCTAATCATTCTCATTTCTGCCATATACATTTGTCTCTCTTTTTAACTGCTCAACATACTATATATACAGTTCTGTACATCACAGCTGGTCTTATAATAATATTATAGAAGAGTACTTACTTTCAGTTTATTGGAATCTTTCTGTCACAAAACATACCACTTGCCTCCTTCAATTTCTTTCATCTTCATCCATCCCATCCTTAATCTACTGTATGCATCTTCATTTAATTCTCTGTTACTCTGTAGTACCAATCCTGTGTACTTAACCATTAACTACAGACATTCCATTATTACCACTTAACAACAGAGCCCAGTAATTTTTACTGGTCATTTTAGTCAAATATAAAATTAATACAAAAAATGCATTACATATTTTTCTGTAGTATCTAGATATGGGAGAACTGGTGAAATGACTGATTTTAATAATAAAAACCAGGTTTTTAAAGAATAATTTATTAAACCATAATTTTGGTAACATTTTTGCTCTATTGAAATAAAAAGCCATTAATGCTATGAACAAAAATTATATATTTTTTAAACAAATAAACCTAATATAGAATCATAAAAGAAACATAACATAGCATTTATGAAAATCTATACATTCATGAGAAAAAATCTGCAAGAGGTAAAATTGTCAAAAAAATTAAGTGGCACATTCCTTGTAAACTCTTGCCATCATTGCAAACATATTGGAGTCTTGCACATTATGCAAATATGAGTGGTTTTTCTTTCTTCAGTGATTCAGTATTAAAGTCTGTTGGTAAATAGCGTCTGAGTCCACATCACTTATGCAAGAATCAATTTGCTCATTCTACTTTTGCAAAATTTCCTCAAAATTTTTATCACTAAATTTAACCCTCTTTAAAGGTCCAGAATGATGTCCAAAGTACATTTCTTTACTCTTTTCCTAAAAATACAAAAATATAAACAGTTCACATTTTACCCAAATTAGAGTAATTAAAAATACTTACTTAAAAACAGACCTCTGGTAAATTTTACGTTAAGATTTTTGATGAGCACTATGAAAGAAAATATTCACAATACACGCCAACTGCTTTGATTAGCACTTTTATACAAAATGCCCTAGAGGTACTGAGACGCATGAAATTGTAAGTCATATGGTTACTATGAATCTGTGTTTTGGGACTGTCCACCAGTAAGAAATACCGAATCCCTGTAGTTAAGGGTTAAAACTATTACTTTTCACAATCATTTTACCATCAAAAGCGATTTTATTACTTGTAGGAGTAACTCCATTTTCAAATGAACATTCCAAATACTCCTACTAAGTTTTAAACCTTTTTGATTAAGAACTTTTCTCCACTGTTCTAGTTTTTGTCCTAAATCCCTTTCAAAATTTCCTACTAACAGTATGTCATTGGCATACATTAATCACCAGGAATATTACCCTTTAGTTTCCCTGTTATCTGATCCAACATTAATGAGAATCAATCAATCAACTGATCTGAGCTAGGCTCTGATCCACTCCTACTTTCACATGAAATCTGTCAGTTTCATTCACAACAGTCCCTCACAATTCTAGTTTTTGTTCTAGATACCTTTCAGTATTTCCTACTAACACTACACTATCAGATTACATAAAACATTAGGAAATGTTACACTCTAGTTTCCCTGTTATCTGATCCAAAACTAATGAGAATAATTAAGGACTAAGCAGTGAGCCCTGACACAATCCCAAACAACTGTTCCAACTGTACTAATTGTTACTGACTTATACATGTTACTACCTCATAAATTCCTCTCACAATCTTGACATATTCACCAGGAACTCCTTTCTTATTGAGTTCCTACCACAGAACCATTTGAGGAACTGTATCATATGCTTTCTCAAGATCAATGAATACAATACAAGTGTTTCTTTATTCCTGTATTTTTCCATCATCTGCCTTATAATGTTGGTCAGTCTTTCATAAATCTACACTAATTTTTGGATATTTCAGTTTCTTCATTGGTCTGTCTATCAATTATTCTTTATTATATTTTAACTAGTGATTTTACCTGTCACCATGTGACGGAGGATACAATCAGTTCCCATCTACAGTCATTCCACTATTTTTTATGGCTTTCTCCTCTTTAAGGCTAGAAGGACAAAAAAATATTTTAGTCTGTTATACAACTCTCATAACAAATAAGTCACTTTTGAAGAATCACTAAATGTTTTTGTATTTGTCTTATGAAATCAATCTCTGTACAAAGACCAGCGTAATTCTAGTTTGGCAATCCATTTGTGGGAAAGCTTGTGTTTTGTATTAAATTTTTTACTGACCACCAAGTTCGCAGCCAATATTTTAAGATCAACAAACCTTTCAAAAGAATTAAAAATTAAATTTTAAAATAATAAACTTCTTTTAATATTGTGCTATCTGACAGATAGATATCTGGAGATATACATGTATTCATCAAATAAAATATACCTTTTTTATGTGGAATTATGTTGTAATTACTAATCATTCTTCTTCTTCAAGTGCCGTCTTCGTTCCGAAGTTTGGCTATCATCAAAGCTATGCGTATTTTTGATGCTGCAGATCTAAACAGTTGGTAATTGGTGCAATTGTACCATTCTCTCAAGTTTTTCGACCATGAATGCCTTCTTCTTCCTATAGATCTCTTTCCCATTATCTTTCCCTGTATAATCAATTGCAGCAACTGGTATTTATTTCCCCTCATAACATGTCCCAAATATTGTAGTTTGCACTTTTTAACAGTAAGTATCAGCTCTTTCTCTTTCCGCACTCTCCGCAAAACCTCCACATTTGTTATTTTCTCTGTCCAGGGTATTCTTAATATTCTACGATACATCCACAACTCAAATGCTTCTATCTTTTTGGTATCGATCTTTTTCAGTGTCCATGTTTCCATCCCGTAGAGGAGAACTGACTATAACGTAACATCTCAAAAGGTGAATTTTAAGTTTTAGACTTAGATCTCTTCCGCAGAACACCTTTTTCAATTTAGTATATATAGTTTAGTATAGTTTAGTATATATTTAGTATATAGATATATATATATATATATATATATATATATATATATATATATATATCTTGGTTTATATCTAGACATCTTTGGCATATGACGTTAAGTGCAAATAGTGCTTCTCTTGTTCCAAGCCCGTTCCGAAATCCGAATTGAGTATTACTAATATCTGCATCTAGTTTTCTGTTAATTCTTGAGTGGATTACTTTGATGAATACTTTTAATGTATGCCCCATTAAGCTTATAGTGCGGTAGTCAGTGCACTGTTTTGCATTTGCCTTTTTTGGTAAGGTTACAAAAGTTGAAAGTAGCCATTCCTTTGGTATTTCTCCTCTTTTGTAGATGCAGTTAAAAAGGTCGAGTAGAATATTCACTGATTCGCCTTCCACAAGCTTAAGAAGTTCTGATGTGAGCCTGTCTGGACCCGGTGATTTACCATTTTTCATTATTTTTATAGCGTATAATAGTTCTTCTTTAGTTATTTCTGGTCCTTCGTCGCCTTGTAAGTTATCTATATTAGGTTCTTGTCTTTCATCGTCGAACAATTCTTCTACATAGTTCTTCCTACTAATCATTAAGATAAATGTAAAATTGATTTCAGAACACACCAATATTTAATTAATTGTCAAAGAATTAATACTAATGTAATTCTTCTGAGGTTTCTTAATAACACTAAAATATTATAGAAGGTTGCCTCAAACATCTTTAACTTCAGAAAGTTCAATGTCTTTATTTAGCAATTCATCTTCAAAATTGTCTTCATTTTGATCCCTCGCTAAGTTATAGAATATTACTGTAGATTAGAACAGTTAAATCCTGTCTACTTTACAGCCATTGTCATTGGATCAAATAGTACCTAAACCTTCTGTTCCCTGCATAAAAGGCTCTGTTACATATCTGGTTTTAATATGGAATTCATTGTAGAAATTTTCTTCATGGATTGTTTAGTGTACTGTATTTCTATTATCTCTATTTAAACTTCGTATCAAGAATACTTATTTTGGACATTTTTTACATTTGGTCCTAGTGAAGATAGCCTCAAATGAGTTTGACATAACAAAATATTTGTGTTTGGCACCAGTGTTGAAATTTACATTACAAATAAAACATATGCAATGAAAAGCAATAAGCTACATAAAAATTAATTGTTTAGAATTACCAAAAAAGTAAAAGTAAATATTTTTATAAATATTTATAAAGTTAAAAAGGCATCTGGCAACTGGTGGTTTGAGTATTCCAACTCTATTGCCAAATCTATCTGCTTAAAGAACAAAATATGATTGAAATGTCAGTTGGTAGTTCAGATTTATTTCCTAGGTGGCGTAGTTACCCTACCAGATAAACAATGTGACTTGTCATCCTAGCCTTTTATATAG